AAGAACTTATTGGATAGTCTGTGCCCCGCAGTGTTATTTTCCCAACATATATCTGGATAGTTGAAGTCCCCCATCACCACCAAATCTTGGGCTTTGGATGATTTTGTTAGTTGTTTAAAAAAAGCCTCATCCACTTCTTCCACCTGGGTAGGTGGCCTGTAGTAGACTCCTAGCATGACATCACCCTTGTTTTTAATCCCTTTTAGCCTAACCCAGGGACTCTCAACACTTCCGTCTCCTATGCCCATCTCCACCTCACTCCAAGTGTGTTCATTTTTAATATATAAGGCAACACCTCCTCCCTTTTTTCCCTGTCTGTCCTTCCTGAGCAAGCTGTACCTTCCATACAAACATTCCAATCGTGTATTATCCCACCAAGTTTGTGATGCCAACAATGTCATAATTGTACTTATTTATTAGCACTTCCAGTTCTTCCTGCTTATTACCCATACTTCTCACATTTGTATATAGGCATCTAAGATACTGATTTGACCTCGCCTTCCAGTTTTGCCCTGACCCTCCTTTCTCTCTGCCATTGTAGCCCACGCTCCCTCCCATTTCTGACCCATCTCCCAGGTCTCCATGTTCTCCACTTACCTGTGGGCTTTGCTCACCTGTCCCCGTCAAACCTAGTTTAAAGCATCCTCACTAGGTTAGCCAGTCTGTGTCCAAATAGGGTCTTCCCCCTCCTCAAAAGGTGAACGCCATCTCTGCCTAGCAGTCCTTCCTGGAATAGCATCCCGTGGTTGAGGAAGCCAAAGTCCTCCTGGTGACACCATCTACGCAGCCAGGCATTCACCTTCAGGATGCACCTGTCTCTGTGCCCGTAACTCCCCAGCCTGGGCTGTCTCAGTGCTTTGCTAGTGACCAGCAGGCCCTGTGATAACACCGCACAATGGCATGTGGAGCCCACACCCAGCTAGACTGCACAAATGCTCATCGGTCCCAGAGCAGCACCAGCAAGATCCCACTAGCTCCCAGCCCTGTCTCTCAGGAATGACCATGTATCAATGGAAAGTGGGCATAGGCCAGCCAGGGCAGGGGGCACATCATCACCCTCCGCATTTGGCCTTTAGTCAGAGACACTTCAGACAGGTGCCCCACCTACGTTCTTCATTCATGATCCATTTCACCACCACCAGGTTCCAGCTGTCTACGGCTTTGCAACTGCTTGGCCTGGCCTGCACCACCCTGGGAGGCTCCTCCCTTGCCTTGTGCCACGCCTGGTCTGGCCAGCCCTCCCTCACTTGGCCTCTGCCCCCCCTTCTCTCACTTCCTTACAGGCAAATGCTGTGCCATTCCCCCATCCCAATCCAGCTGAGTAAAAGCTGCTCCAGCAGTGCCCTGCCACACACCTGCCCCCTTCAGCACCTGCCAGGTGGGGCCTGCTCTGGCCTCTTCTCCCTCTGCCGAGGAGCCCATTGCTGCCCACTGGTGATTCCATGGCCTCCTTGTGGGTCTTTGCCCCCTACCCAGTGTGCCTTCTCAGGCTGGGGGGATAGAGGAGTGCCCCACAGGCCCTCGCACCAGGCGCCCCCTCGCAATTGTCCAGCCTGCTGGGGAGCAGGGGAGCTGGGTGGGCCAGGATGTGACTTGGGTTTTGCTACCTGGCCAGGAGGGTCTGGCTCGCCCTGCCTGGAGACCTCCCCTTCTAGTCTTTGGCCTCCCTTCCCTGGGTGCTCTATACTGAGGCTCTCCTTTGGCCCCTCACCCACTATTTCTCCCCATCTTTATTCTGGCCTTGTTGTCTAGGGCAGGTTCTCAACCTTTTATTATAAAGTACCCCCTTTAAATATATATTATATACCCCTAGTGCCTGCAGTTTTCAGATGCACGATTTTTTTTTCCATCATTGCAACACATTTGTTAAAACAACTTAATCATAGCTGGGCAAGTGATGAAATTTTTGGGTGTAAAAAGTACAACAATAATAAAGCTGTAAAACTTAAACACAAATTCAGTTTTCTCCAAATGTCAGTTGTGTTGATGTGCTCTCTTCCTTGCTTTTCTCTGGTGTGGGGGCATCGCCATGTCCCTCAGTGAAGCAGTACCTCTGCGTCCGTCCTGTGAGTCACTGAGTTGCAGCTCCTCTGCTGGGTGGACATGTCTGAGCAGGCCTTGGTTACCTCCTTTGCCGTTGTCTCTGGAGAGCTGGTATCTGGGCACTTTCCACAGCATATTTTAGTGACAACCCTGCAGCACAGTTCTTACAATTGTATATACATTAATGATGCACATATTTAGATGAAATAGAGGCTTTCAGCAGGTCATACCCTTCCCTAGATGCATCACATGGCCTGCTTTATATGCAGTATCACAGTTACCTAGAGATGAGGAATATGGGAGTTACAGAGCACACACCCCACCGCCAGGTATAGACTGTCACAACCACAGCCCCATGGAGGCGAAGCCTGAGCAGGCTTTCCCACTTCCAAACCTGCCCTGACTGTCCGGCTGGCGGGCGGGGAAGAGCCATAAGTCGCACATCTCCAGCTCTCCAAGGGAAGGGAGATCCTGAGAGGCAGCTGCACAGTTGAGGGTCAGAGAAGCTGTGATGGGAACGATCTGGGGAATGAAGGGAAAAGATTGGACTCCCAAAACATGCTGCCCCTGCTCACCCAGGTCAGGGCTGCAGTCAGCAAGTGCCATAGATCATGGAAAATACTGTCATGGCTTCCCATCCCTTCAGGAATGTCAGGGATTTCCTTCCTGTCTTTGTTCCCTGGGAGTGTTTGGGTGGGAGGTGGAGGCAGAATCCAATCTCTCGGTCTCCCCAGCAGTGGCTGTTTTCCTGCTTTGCTAGTCCCCTGTCGTCTCCCTCCCCCCATGCACTCACAGTGACTCCTGCCTGGATTCTCTCTCTCCCAGCAGGTTACAGGACAGTGAGTGAGAACAAGCAGGAGAATCCTCAGCAGGACACTCCTGGAAAAGTGGAGCTTCAGGAGACATTTTTGAGAAAAGCTGAAGGGACTTTTTTCCAGTGAAATCAACACAGGTCAGAGAGGCAGCTAGAAAACCATCCAAGGAAGAATATGGATGAATTCATTCAGTATGGCGAAGGATGCACAAATCCCAAGGAAACCACAGCCCAGCAGACAAGTCCCAAGGAAGAAAAACCCTACAAATGCCTTGACTGTGGAAAAGGATTCAGTTTAAGTACAAACCTTATTACACATTGGAGAACCCACACGGGAGAGAAATCCTACAAATGCTTGGACTGTGGGAAAAGCTTCAGTGAAAAGTCATACTTTATTACTCACCAGAGAGTTCACACAGGAGAGAGACCGTATAAATGCTTTGCATGTGAGAAAAGCTTCAGTCAGAAGTCATACCTTATTACACACGAGCGACTGCACACAGGAGAGAGACCATATAAATGCCATGAGTGTGGAAGAAGTTTTAGTGAAAGTACATCTCTAATTAAACATGGGCGAACCCACACAGGAGAGAGACCCTATAAATGCCTGGAGTGTGGGAAAAGTTTTATTGAAAATTCATCCCTTACTAAACATGGGCGAGTCCACACAGGAGAAAAACCCTATAAATGCCTTGAGTGTGGGAAAAGATTCAGTCTGAAATCAGCCCTGAACACACACCGGAGAACCCACACAGGAGAGAAGCCCTATAAATGCCTGGACTGTGGGAAAAGTTTTGCTCACAATTCAGGATTTAGTGCTCATCAGAGAGTCCACACAGAAGAGAAGCCCCATAGGTGCTTGGACTGTGGGAAAAACTTCAGCCACATATCAAACCTTACTAGACATCAGAGAATCCATACAGAAGAGAAGCCTTATGGATGCTTGGACTGTGGGAAAAACTTCAGCCACATATCAAACCTTACTAGACATCAGAGAATCCATACAGAAGAGAAGCCTTATGGATGCTTGGACTGTGGGAAAAACTTCAGCCACATATCAAACCTTACTAGACATCAGAGAATCCATACAGAAGAGAAGCCTTATGGATGCTTGGACTGTGGGAAAAACTTCAGCCACATATCAAACCTTACTAGACATCAGAGAATCCATACAGAAGAGAAGCCTTATGGATGCTTGGACTGTGGGAAAAACTTCAGCCACATATCAAACCTTACTAGACATCAGAGAATCCATACAGAAGAGAAGCCTTATGGATGCTTGGACTGTGGGAAAAACTTCAGCCACATATCAAACCTTACTAGACATCAGAGAATCCATACAGAAGAGAAGCCTTATGGATGCTTGGACTGTGGGAAAAACTTCAGCCACATATCAAACCTTACTAGACATCAGAGAATCCATACAGAAGAGAAGCCTTATGGATGCTTGGACTGTGGGAAAAACTTCAGCCACATATCAAACCTTACTAGACATCAGAGAATCCATACAGAAGAGAAGCCTTATGGATGCTTGGACTGTGGGAAAAACTTCAGCCACATATCAAACCTTACTAGACATCAGAGAATCCATACAGAAGAGAAGCCTTATGGATGCTTGGACTGTGGGAAAAACTTCAGCCACATATCAAACCTTACTAGACATCAGAGAATCCATACAGAAGAGAAGCCTTATGGATGCTTGGACTGTGGGAAAAACTTCAGCCACAAATCAAATCTTACTAGACATCAGAGAATCCACACAAGAGAAAGTCCATGTTAACACCTGGACACTGGGAAATATTTCTGGGTTGACTTGGGACACCTTGGGATGCCTGTTCTGCCTGTCTGGGCCCCCTTTTACCTGGCCTTGCTAGGCCAGACTCAAGCCTTTTTCAGCCAAGTCCACAGGCAGGAACGATCCAGACACACATCAGCTCTGGGAAGACTCGGCTGAAAAGGACCCTCCCTTGGGATACCATTCCAAAGTGACAGGACATTTGCCTCTTCCTCAATGAGGAGGAAGGTTTGCACAGCTTCCTCCTCTGCCCCGTGGCAAATTACATAAGCTGGGTGATATTCTGCACCCGACGTAAGTTTATGAACTGTGAAAAGTGTATTTTAAGTAGTCAAAAAGAACAAAGCCGATTACTAAGAAGATAATACAAAATATGCAAATGGAGCTAGATTTCCTAAAGACACTAGCTACAAATAATAATTTCTCACCTGAAATGTTGATTGAGGTAGAGTCATTTGCAGGCCAGAGGGGTCTCTTCTAGCCTGGATCCAGCATTGCTCCCCTCCCCCTCAGCCCCGTCAGTTACAGTCCTGTGGTTTCCAGGTATCATTTGGGTGGGAAGGCCAAGTGAAGCAAGCTGAAGATGATAGTTGTTTCCTCCCCCACCTTGTATAGGATTTCCATAAAGCAGGTGGCCCCAGGAGTGGGGAAGGGGGGATAGAGCCAGGGGAAGGTGATGTGGGGGAAAGGAGGGATAAAAGTGCTTGGTGCAGGCTGGATGGGGGAAGCTCAGCGACCCCGCGCCTCACAGGATCACAAATTAGTGACTCCAGGGGAACAGATGACAGACTTCAACCCTTCCCCTCTCCTCCCCCCCTCCGATGGCACTAGGACCTGCAATAGCAGCCAGGGAGGGCTTGTGGATGGGGTGAGAGAGGCAGGTGGGCAGGAGTCAAGTGGGCTGGGAGAGTCCAGTGCAGGCGGTCAGTCTGGGCTGTCTTGCCTTGGCTGACCTCACAGCAAGCTTCAAGGCCCAGGCTGTAGCTGTATATGATTCATGCCCATTTCATTTGAAATTATTCCTGCCGTAATGCATTGTCTGAGGGTGACGCTACCAGTGTAACAAGTTTCTCAGTGATTCATGACTTTTGGCGGACATATATTTGTGATTGGGAAGACTCGAATCATGAGGCTAAGAGAGTTTATGTCCACAGAGTGTTGCCACGGACAGCACACGAACCAATGGGGAGCACCAGGGGACAAAAGTCTTTGTGGATTTCTCTGCCTACCATGAAGAGGAGACAGGCGAGTGATTCCTCCCAACAGTGAATTTGTGATTTGAAGCAGAAACGAGGGGAAGAAATAAAAAGGCCTAAGAGAGAGGGACGGTATCTTTTATGCTGCTTCGACTCTGAGGGACAAGGATTATTAAGCAGAAAGCAAAATCTCCCCAGTGTTTGGGCTGGGATAGCCCTAAAGGACATAACAAGCTTGTTATTATAGAAGCATCTTTTTCTTGTTGAAACTTAAGAGTGGAATTGATTTGTGTGTCTCTCTGTTTACCTGCTTTAAGCTTGCAAATCCTCACTAGGTTAGCCAGTCTGTGTCCAAATAGGGTCTTCCCCCTCCTCAAAAGGTGAACGCCATCTCTGCCTAGCAGTCCTTCCTGGAATAGCATCCCGTGGTTGAGGAAGCCAAAGTCCTCCTGGTGACACCATCTACGCAGCCAGGCATTCACCTTCAGGATGCACCTGTCTCTGTGCCCGTAACTCCCCAGCCTGGGCTGTCTCAGTGCTTTGCTAGTGACCAGCAGGCCCTGTGATAACACCGCACAATGGCATGTGGAGCCCACACCCAGCTAGACTGCACAAATGCTCATCGGTCCCAGAGCAGCACCAGCAAGATCCCACTAGCTCCCAGCCCTGTCTCTCAGGAATGACCATGTATCAATGGAAAGTGGGCATAGGCCAGCCAGGGCAGGGGGCACATCATCACCCTCCGCATTTGGCCTTTAGTCAGAGACACTTCAGACAGGTGCCCCACCTACGTTCTTCATTCATGATCCATTTCACCACCACCAGGTTCCAGCTGTCTACGGCTTTGCAACTGCTTGGCCTGGCCTGCACCACCCTGGGAGGCTCCTCCCTTGCCTTGTGCCACGCCTGGTCTGGCCAGCCCTCCCTCACTTGGCCTCTGCCCCCCCTTCTCTCACTTCCTTACAGGCACATGCTGTGCCATTCCCCCATCCCAATCCAGCTGAGTAAAAGCTGCTCCAGCAGTGCCCTGCCACACACCTGCCCCCTTCAGCACCTGCCAGGTGGGGCCTGCTCTGGCCCCTTCTCCCTCTGCCAAGGAGCCCATTGCTGCCCACTGGTGATTCCATGGCCTCCTTGTGGGTCTTTGCCCCCTACCCAGTGTGCCTTCTCAGGCTGGGGGGATAGAGGAGTGCCCCACAGGCCCTCGCACCAGGCGCCCCCTCGCAATTGTCCAGCCTGCTGGGGAGCAGGGGAGCTGGGTGGGCCAGGATGTGACTTGGGTTTTGCTACCTGGCCAGGAGGGTCTGGCTCGCCCTGCCTGGAGACCTCCCCTTCTAGTCTTTGGCCTCCCTTCCCTGGGTGCTCTATACTGAGGCTCTCCTTTGGCCCCTCACCCACTATTTCTCCCCATCTTTATTCTGGCCTTGTTGTCTAGGGCAGGTTCTCAACCTTTTATTATAAAGTACCCCCTTTAAATATATATTATATACCCCTAGTGCCTGCAGTTTTCAGATGCACGATTTTTTTTTCCATCATTGCAACACATTTGTTAAAACAACTTAATCATAGCTGGGCAAGTGATGAAATTTTTGGGTGTAAAAAGTACAACAATAATAAAGCTGTAAAACTTAAACACAAATTCAGTTTTCTCCAAATGTCAGTTGTGTTGATGTGCTCTCTTCCTTGCTTTTCTCTGGTGTGGGGGCATCGCCATGTCCCTCAGTGAAGCAGTACCTCTGCGTCCGTCCTGTGAGTCACTGAGTTGCAGCTCCTCTGCTGGGTGGACATGTCTGAGCAGGCCTTGGTTACCTCCTTTGCTGTTGTCTCTGGAGAGCTGGTATCTGGGCACTTTCCACAGCATATTTTAGTGACAACCCTGCAGCACAGTTCTTACAATTGTATATACATTAATGATGCACATATTTAGATGAAATAGAGGCTTTCAGCAGGTCATACCCTTCCCTAGATGCATCACATGGCCTGCTTTATATGCAGTATCACAGTTACCTAGAGATGAGGAATATGGGAGTTACAGAGCACACACCCCACCGCCAGGTATAGACTGTCACAACCACAGCCCCATGGAGGCGAAGCCTGAGCAGGCTTTCCCACTTCCAAACCTGCCCTGACTGTCCGGCTGGCGGGCGGGGAAGAGCCATAAGTCGCACATCTCCAGCTCTCCAAGGGAAGGGAGATCCTGAGAGGCAGCTGCACAGTTGAGGGTCAGAGAAGCTGTGATGGGAACGATCTGGGGAATGAAGGGAAAAGATTGGACTCCCAAAACATGCTGCCCCTGCTCACCCAGGTCAGGGCTGCAGTCAGCAAGTGCCATAGATCATGGAAAATACTGTCATGGCTTCCCATCCCTTCAGGAATGTCAGGGATTTCCTTCCTGTCTTTGTTCCCTGGGAGTGTTTGGGTGGGAGGTGGAGGCAGAATCCAATCTCTCGGTCTCCCCAGCAGTGGCTGTTTTCCTGCTTTGCTAGTCCCCTGTCGTCTCCCTCCCCCCATGCACTCACAGTGACTCCTGCCTGGATTCTCTCTCTCCCAGCAGGTTACAGGACAGTGAGTGAGAACAAGCAGGAGAATCCTCAGCAGGACACTCCTGGAAAAGTGGAGCTTCAGGAGACATTTTTGAGAAAAGCTGAAGGGACTTTTTTCCAGTGCATTAACTGGAAATCAACACAGGTCAGAGAGGCAGCTGGAAAACCATCCAAGGAAGAATATGGATGAATTCATTCAGTATGGCGAAGGATGCACAAATCCCAAGGAAACCACAGCCCAGCAGACAAGTCCCAAGGAAGAAAAACCCTACAAATGCCTTGACTGTGGAAAAGGATTCAGTTTAAGTACAAACCTTATTACACATTGGAGAACCCACACGGGAGAGAAATCCTACAAATGCTTGGACTGTGGGAAAAGCTTCAGTGAAAAGTCATACTTTATTACTCACCAGAGAGTTCACACAGGAGAGAGACCGTATAAATGCTTTGCATGTGAGAAAAGCTTCAGTCAGAAGTCATACCTTATTACACACGAGCGACTGCACACAGGAGAGAGACCATATAAATGCCATGAGTGTGGAAGAAGTTTTAGTGAAAGTACATCTCTAATTAAACATGGGCGAACCCACACAGGAGAGAGACCCTATAAATGCCTGGAGTGTGGGAAAAGTTTTATTGAAAATTCATCCCTTACTAAACATGGGCGAGTCCACACAGGAGAAAAACCCTATAAATGCCTTGAGTGTGGCAAAAGATTCAGTCTGAAATCAGCCCTGAACACACACCGGAGAACCCACACAGGAGAGAAGCCCTATAAATGCCTGGACTGTGGGAAAAGTTTTGCTCACAATTCAGGATTTAGTGCTCATCAGAGAGTCCACACAGAAGAGAAGCCCCATAGGTGCTTGGACTGTGGGAAAAACTTCAGCCACATATCAAACCTTACTAGACATCAGAGAATCCATACAGAAGAGAAGCCTTATGGATGCTTGGACTGTGGGAAAAACTTCAGCCACAAATCAAATCTTACTAGACATCAGAGAATCCACACAAGAGAAAGTCCATGTTAACACCTGGACACTGGGAAATATTTCTGGGTTGACTTGGGACACCTTGGGATGCCTGTTCTGCCTGTCTGGGCCCCCTTTTACCTGGCCTTGCTAGGCCAGACTCAAGCCTTTTTCAGCCAAGTCCACAGGCAGGAACGATCCAGACACACATCAGCTCTGGGAAGACTCGGCTGAAAAGGACCCTCCCTTGGGATACCATTCCAAAGTGACAGGACATTTGCCTCTTCCTCAATGAGGAGGAAGGTTTGCACAGCTTCCTCCTCTGCCCCGTGGCAAATTACATAAGCTGGGTGATATTCTGCACCCGACGTAAGTTTGTGAACTGTGAAAAGTGTATTTTAAGTAGTCAAAAAGAACAAAGCCGATTACTAAGAAGATAATACAAAATATGCAAATGGAGCTAGATTTCCTAAAGACACTAGCTACAAATAATAATTTCTCACCTGAAATGTTGATTGAGGTAGAGTCATTTGCAGGCCAGAGGGGTCTCTTCTAGCCTGGATCCAGCATTGCTCCCCTCCCCCTCAGCCCCGTCAGTTACAGTCCTGTGGTTTCCAGGTATCATTTGGGTGGGAAGGCCAAGTGAAGCAAGCTGAAGATGATAGTTGTTTCCTCCCCCACCTTGTATAGGATTTCCATAAAGCAGGTGGCCCCAGGAGTGGGGAAGGGGGGATAGAGCCAGGGGAAGGTGATGTGGGGGAAAGGAGGGATAAAAGTGCTTGGTGCAGGCTGGATGGGGGAAGCTCAGCGACCCCGCGCCTCACAGGATCACAAATTAGTGACTCCAGGGGAACAGATGACAGACTTCAACCCTTCCCCTCTCCTCCCCCCCTCCGATGGCACTAGGACCTGCAATAGCAGCCAGGGAGGGCTTGTGGATGGGGTGAGAGAGGCAGGTGGGCAGGAGTCAAGTGGGCTGGGAGAGTCCAGTGCAGGCGGTCAGTCTGGGCTGTCTTGCCTTGGCTGACCTCACAGCAAGCTTCAAGGCCCAGGCTGTAGCTGTATATGATTCATGCCCATTTCATTTGAAATTATTCCTGCCGTAATGCATTGTCTGAGGGTGACGCTACCAGTGTAACAAGTTTCTCAGTGATTCATGACTTTTGGCGGACATATATTTGTGATTGGGAAGACTCGAATCATGAGGCTAAGAGAGTTTATGTCCACAGAGTGTTGCCACGGACAGCACACGAACCAATGGGGAGCACCAGGGGACAAAAGTCTTTGTGGATTTCTCTGCCTACCATGAAGAGGAGACAGGCGAGTGATTCCTCCCAACAGTGAATTTGTGATTTGAAGCAGAAACGAGGGGAAGAAATAAAAAGGCCTAAGAGAGAGGGACGGTATCTTTTATGCTGCTTCGACTCTGAGGGACAAGGATTATTAAGCAGAAAGCAAAATCTCCCCAGTGTTTGGGCTGGGATAGCCCTAAAGGACATAACAAGCTTGTTATTATAGAAGCATCTTTTTCTTGTTGAAACTTAAGAGTGGAATTGATTTGTGTGTCTCTCTGTTTACCTGCTTTAAGCTTGCAAATAAGGCTCTTCTCTCCTCTCCCCTCCCTTGCTAATAAATCTGTAGAGAGTTAATTATGGGATTGGCAGCAAGTGTTGTCTTCGATGTAAGATTTAAAATACAATTGATCTGGGGTAAGTGACTGGCCCTTTGGGACTGGGCATAACCTGAGTGTGAAGTAAGGGACCATCTGTCACAGAAGCAGGC